ATTAGTGGTTGACATCCGGTAAATCCTGAAGAGTTCTTTTGTTTTTTCTTCCACGCATCAATTATGACAACCTCAATCAGATGGGCTTTCTCCTGAGGTGCTTTTATGTAACAAAAGTGGAAAAAAAAATTTGTAAAAATAAAATGTGTATTTAGGGCTTAAAATATTGCATAATGATAATAGTATGATAGTCCGGTTTTTAAAACCAAACTTTGTATTCTCTGATGCATCTGATTTTAGTATGTAACTGTATAACAATAACAAGACGTTCAACATCTCCAGATATTTACTAGGGGTGAAAATATTCATTTTGATATGTTATGACAAACAAAAAGAAAAATACTAATATATAATTATTATTTTATTAAATCACGAAAATACTGTTGCTAAGTACACTGTCGGCTATTGGTAGAGGGGACTTATGTGCAAGTACCCCATCAACTGATTGGTTTTCATCATTTAAAACCAGTTATTGTCTTTTTTTTTCACTTGCTGGAATTGATACAAAATCCTTTTGCTCAGGTTCCCATTAAGCTAGGCATAAAATAAGCACCATGTTTTGCAATTAAACACAATTTACAGTAACGTTTGGCTCTTTTGTTAACAGTTGACTTAATAATTTGGTCCAGATTTACCTTGTGCATTCAGTGTGTTTTGTTTAAACATTAAATAATGAATAATAACAATGGAAAAGTTAATGTTTAATGAAACAGCAGCTAGGTCAAATCTAGGACAAGTCTTACCCATTTTTTTTGGTTAAGACCATCACATCAAGGTAATGGAGGTTAAGATACACACTGCAGCCACTAGGAGGCACTCGCTTTGTTTGGGTTATGTTTATTTATTTAGCAGACACTTTTGTCCAAAGCGACTTACAATTTCTAACCTGTAGAGCATGTTGTGAACTGTGGGGAAACTGGAGTACCCGGAGGAAACCCACGCATGCACGGGGAGAACACGCAACTCCACGCCATGGACGTAATTTTCACTTTAGAAGTGGGGGGGACACGTGTGTGTGTGTGTGTGCGTGTGTGTGTGGGGGGGGGGGTCTTTACAGTATGTTCTAATGGGAAACAGGCTTCAACACAAATGGTTGGTTTCTGCTTGGTCCTAGAGTTCAACCAGTGCCAATTTAATATAAAGTATTGGTAAAAAGTGCAGGGATGAAAACTTGACTTTGGAGAAAGTGGGGGGGACATGTCCCCCCTGTACCCCCCCCCCCCCCCCAAAAAAAATTACGTCCATGCTCCACACAGAAAGGCCGCAGCCGAGTTTCGAACCTGCAACCTTCGGGCTGCGAGGCAACAGTGCTAACAACTGCACCACCATGCAGTGGGTTATCTTCCACTTTACACCCATCCATTATCTGAACCCACTTGTCCATGTAGGGTCACGGGGGGTCAGTACCTATCTCCAGCAGTCAACGGGCAAACAGGCAGGGTACACCCTGGACAGGTTGCCAGTCCCTCGCAGGGCATCCACTTTACATGTCTGTGACTTGTCATAAATGTTGATGGTTCCTCCCAAAACTTCAAGTTAAAGTTATTATTTTTTAGAATAAGAAAAAAAAAACAGTTTCAGGAATACTATAGACCTGTAAAAGAGGAGGCTATTTCCTCCCCCATGACCCCTACCCGTCCTCCATCATGTACAGGTTTTGAGCATCAAAGAGTTTGTGCAAAAACTCTCAAGGTCACTGAGGAGATTTGTCAGCCGTTTAAAATAAAAAAGGACCGCACTTATTTAATTTGACTTTCATTGCTTTTCTGTCTTATTAGGAGATTTCACTCCTGCAGCATTAGACTCAATTAGACTCCATCTGTTTTGCAGCCTAATCATATTTCCACTTGTCTCAGTTTCAGTTTGAAACTGTTACTGTGCACAGTCCTAATTTTCCAATTTTGGTTTTAATTTTAGCAAATCGGATTTCTCAAAATATCAAAGAAATGAGTTTTGACTGAATAGTGTGGCATACTAAATAATTGGTTTTAAATAGGATTTTCAACTTGTAGTAGGACTCACAAAACTATAGCTTTGTCCGTGTGTCATTCTTTAAATCCCCCTGACAAAAGACCGATCCAGCCCATCCATGTGTCCTTGACCCATGGTCAGTGCTTCTGGACTTAGAGCTGGATTCATGTCCTCTTTGCTCTGTAGGTTGTTTTGATTAAGGCCAGTGTTTAACGTATGAACAAGAGCAATCTGCCACCAGCTCTGTGTCTGTTTGATGCTTCAGTCAGCAGCTAGCAGCCTGATTACAGCCGGCTTTACTGCTCAGCCTGAACAGATGGTGTGCAGAGAGCACCACGCTGCCCATCGGCACTCATTTCACCCCTCCATACCACAAGCTGAGCATCTATCACAGCTGAACTTGCATAAAAACAATTTCTTTAAGATGTGCTTTTTTTCATTGTCAACAAAGTTATGACTGTTTTCTTTCTTCTGTAAAATGCTATAAAAGCTGTTTTGGGGTTTAGAATAAACCTTTGAGCAATAGCAATATCAGGTATGCTAGCCAAAGACTTATAAATGCTAACTTAGCTACATTTTCTTAATGTTTTCCTGTGTCTTGCTCATCTGCTGTTAGTTTGTTTGTGAAACTAAGCTAACTAGCAACAGATGCAAAGCAAAACTGCTAATCAAAGCTCTATTTAAAATACTATATGGCTTGCTATGTCAGAGCAGATTTACTGTGTGACAAGGTACGTATGTGCGTAATACTCTTTGTTGTATATTTAACGTTGTAGAATTTGTGGCACAATAGACTGCATCCACTGGGTCAACAATGTGAAGAAGCAGAGAAAAAGAGACAAATAACAAACAGACATACTAGTTCTTTTTGTAAACAATACACCTTTCAAGCTACAAAACATCTTAAGTTTTCCATCCTATTATTATCGCTCAACAAGCTGGTTTGTACCAAATGTTGGGGTCTTGTCCGGGATCTGAGAACTTTTTTGCATTTCAAAAAAGAAAACTCCTAAATGTTTATTCCTCATTTCAAAAATATATATAAAAAGAGGTTGCTTTAGTATATTTAAACATGTACATTAATAGCTGTTTAGAAATTATGCTTTGTTAGGTTATTTCAAATCTGTACATTAATTGTCAAAGGATGGCTTTACCCTTTTAAAGGGTACTTGCAGAAATATTTGGAAACATAATGTTTCAAGCCTTGACTGATACTGGAGGCCATTAAAAACTTTTAATTAAATATTTTTAGTTTTACCGTTTAGTGTTTTTTGTTATTTTTCATACATCTGTAAAACCCTTTGTTTCTGATTTGATTCAGCCTATTATTTTAAAATTGTTATTTACTTGAATGAAATGAGACATATTTGCTTTAAACTGTACTTTTTGGTGATTTTACTATTTCAGCCTTTATTAACACAGTTAAAAAGTAGCTTTTCAGATCACAATTAAACATTTTATTAGAAAAATTAACTACCAATTTAACAAAAAAAATCCATAATTAAAAAATCTGGAAAATATGCATCTATTTTATTTAAACTTTAAAGATTTTCTAAGTAAAATAATTTCCCAGATATATTTTATTTATTTTTTGTTTTTTTGTTGCTATTTGAACTCAGTCTATGCAGATACTTTAATATCTTATTTTTGGCTAATTTTCTGTACTTTTGTACTGACTCTGTTGGGTTAGGGTTAGGGTATTTTAGCTATCAAAAATGAGCCTGTTAACATGATTTTTAAATGTAAATGCTGTCATGTGAGTCCTTAATGTCATTCTCTGCAGCTACTAAATGTCACGTTCATCCTATAATTCCTGTTAACACAACCCAAGCTGATGATGCTGTGTGTAGTATTATTAAGTTAGTCTATATGGCAGCGAATGTGCTTTTTTATTTTACAATCTCTCTGCACCTGTTTTGCATGCATCATGCAGCGTTAGCAACAGATTGTTTCTGAACTGATCAGGTCTTGAAGCTCAAGGTTACTCGCTTTGCTGTTGTGATTGCACGTAATTTAGATGCACATGCAGAGGACTCACACAAAGAAATATCATGCAATAAGCCTGAGAGCATCGAGTTGGTTCTCAACTGCATGCTGCCTGCTTGGAAAATGAAGTAGGATTTGAGATTCATTCTAGTAACAACAAACACTCATTTTTCTTTGGGAAAATGACTCTTGAAGGATGCAGTGATCCAACATAGATCCCATTTCAGATGATTTCTGCTGAACCTTAAGGTCTGTTTATCACTGTGAAGCTGCAGACGGCTCCAACATTTCATCCTTTCAGATGTATAGATGTGATAAAACACACTAAACTGAAAAGTGAAAAGAAGTTTCAACATAATTCAGGACGAAGTACAACGTTGTTTGTACATTTCATAATGACATTGAACATTGTGCTTATTTTCTTACACAAAGCCTCTCTGTCTGTTTTTTAGATAAAATGGTCATGCTGGAAAAAAAAAGCAGAATATTTCCTATTTGAAAATTTTTTATAATATTATTAACGAAATAAGGGGAGAGTAGCACAATGTTGCAAACAACACTCAGAGACTAAAACTCACTAAAACTAATAAAAAAGACTTAAAGTCTCCAAAACAAGCTCAAACTTTATAATCATTAAATGAAATAATATCAATAAAATTAGTAAAATGGCTTTGATTAACCATGAAGATGCAACAAACAGATTGTCAACATCATTATAACACTTAACTGAAAAAAGCTACGTAACAAGAAGATATTTAAAGCCACATTTTTGTCTCCCCTGGTTTATGGAGGCGTTTTACTCTTCTGCACCTCGGGGCCTTTTACTCCTGCTTTACCCTCCTTGGGATGTAGAGACCTTTTCTATTCCTTCTCAGCTCCCAGTTTTAGAACTAATCACTGAGGATGCTGAACAGCTTATGGGACGAGATGCAAAGCTGCCTTTTCCTTTGAGTTCTTCTTTTCAACGTGTAAAAATAGCCCACAAAAAGTACAAAATAAAGAGGTGATACTTGAATTAAAATGCGTAACATGTGTTTGTGCAGGATGGAAGAGACAGTGCGGTCGCTGCTGCAGAGTCAGGGTGTCCTGGAGCAGACTGCTGTGGACACAGTGGACATCATGAAGGCCTATAAGGTAACATGAATTTTGTAACTCTGAGAAAATGCACTTTACATCCTGCTTGTTACTGGTTATAAATCCTTTGTGGGATGGAATAATCAGTAACCACCTCTAAGGTTGTCTTTGTAAATGCAGAACAAAAATACAGTAAATCAAATCTTCAAATAAAATATGAGCAATAAATAAATAAATAAACAACATAATTGCTAATGTAACTCCAACATCAACTTTGTAATCATCAAATTCAAAACATGTATAAGTATAAAGAAAACAAAGAACAAAAGAAATGTTAAACCTATAGACAGTGGTGCATTAGGGTCACCGTGACAACCATGACTATCTAATTAAAGCAACACTAAACAGTTTCCAGCTTCTCCGTCCTACTGGTTGAAAGTGGAAATTCAATTCAATTCAATTCAAGTTTATTTATGAAGCGCCAAATCACGACAAGAGTCGTCTCAAGGACCTTCACACAGTAAACATTCCAATACAGGTCAGGTCATTAAGCCAATCAGTAAAAAGTTTCCTATATGAGGAACCTGGCAGGTTGCATCGAGTCACTGACTAGTGTCAGAGTCTTTACAGCAATCCTCATACCAAGCAAGCATGTAGCGACTGTGGGGAGGAAAACTCCCTTTTAACAGGAAGAAACCTCCAGAGGATCCTGGCTCAGTATAAGCATCCATCATCCACGACTCACTGGGGATTAAGAAGACAGAGCACACACACACAGACACACACAGACACACACAGACACACACACACACACACACACACACACACACACACACACACACACACACACACACACAGACACACACACACACACACACACACACGCACGCACGCACGCACGCACGCACACACACACACACACACACACACACACACACACACACACACACACACACTGTTGCCGACATGCAACAGTTCAAATCGAAACGGCGCCACATTGGCATGCAGAAGCCCGCAGCTGGACTATTTGTTATTGTCAGAAAACTCAATCAAACGGGAAATATGGTAGATTCCTGTTGTGCCCCAGGATGCAGAACAGACGCGGATGACATAAGGGAAGAGCCTTCTACAGGATTTCCCAAGATCCGGAACGCCGCAAACGTTGGATCATTGCAGTAAAACGCGCTTGTGACCGGGCTAAAATGAAGCTGTGAGAGTAAAGGTTTTCACTTATGCAGCGACCACTTCATGTCAGGTACTTAAACCAACGTTTCCTCAACTGTGTATGGTATTTATTTTAAATGCTTTTATTACGATTCTTAGTGGGCTTCCAAAACTTATTTTGGCGTGGCTTTTTCTGTCTTATTACTCATAGCAACAAGTAAACATCACGTAAAACGTTGCCTCGTGATTTCTGCGTGCTGCCGTTTACGTGTTTTATGATCACAGCAATTAACCGGCTAAGCTGTATTTAATTTTTAAGCAATGGGTTGATCAATTGTCAGATCACGCATAAAAAATCACTTTGGATTGCCATTATCTGTCTCACCGAGACAGATCTCAGACAGAGCCTGAGACGCTCCTGCCTGACATATTTATTTTATTCACGGAAAACAATCTGACTAGTGATTTCTCTTGGTGTTCGGTTTATACATTCAAACAGCACAGCACTCTATTTAAACTACTTACATGTAAATCTGTTATTTGTCCATCCGTCCATCCATTTTCATCTGCTCATCCGGAGTCGGGTTGCGGGGGCAGTAGCGTCGAGAGGCCCAGACTTCCCTCTCCCCAGCCACTTGGGCCAGCTCCTCCAGGGAAATGCCAAGGCATTCCCTGGCCAGGTCCGCTCCGACAGCTTCTGGCATTTTTAAAACGTATCCCAGGGGCATGGTAAGGGTCGGAGATGTTTAGTCTATTTAATTTCTGACTATATAAAATGATTTCTTCGGTTTTAAAGTGTGAAGTAAACCCTGACGGAGTAAAATCCAAGCTGATCCCGTTCAATTTGTTTACCTTTGTTGCCTACCAACATGGCGTCTACTCTCTGAGAGTCACGTGACGTCCGGAGCTCTGTGGTTACATTGTGATTTCTTAGTAATGATTCTATTTAGTGAAGAGAAACTTTTTTGTATTTATAACAACTGCTGTCTTACTAAATAAGCAGCAAATCAAAAATCTCCACTGTTTGGCAAAACTATTATTACTTACAAGTCCAGTAGCAACAAAGGCAGGTCATCATCGGTTTGTGATTTTATAGCTTCTTTTAGCTCCCTCAAATGAGTGTAAGCTGTGCTGATTTTCACTCTGGTTTTAGCTCTTTGCCTTACCTCCAAATACTTTGCTCTCTAACTTAAACGTCCAGGCTCTGCCATGATGCCAACAAAAAAGCTAACTTTTTTTCAGCCTTTTGTGTTTTTTATTGACGGTCATGTACTGAAAAAGCAACCTGCTAACCTTTAATTAGCCACCACCACAAAAAATAGCTAACAGCCATTAAGTAGGTAAAGAGTGCCCCCTAGGTTACCTACTGGGGCTGTGAATCCTACATCAACTCACGATTCAATTTGACTCCAAATCTCGAGGTGACAATTAGATTCAAAATCAATCCTCAATCTAGAGTGTAGACTAGTGTGTGTGTGTGTGTGTGTGTGTGTGTGTGTGTGTGTGTGTGTGTGTGTGTGTGTGTGTGTGTGTGTGTGTGTCTGAAGAAGTGGTTAAAAGAGAATACAATGTGAAACATATTTAACCAGTAAACAGGTTTTATAACATGCAGTAGCATGTATTCATATGAACCAGTATCATTGAACACAACACTGACAGGCACAAATTAGTCTTAACAAGCGTCAGCTATGCACGGTGCTGTCGGCATGAAACAACACACAAACTAAACAAGATAAAACCATTTAAACAATATTAAACGTGATGGAATTTACTTTACGACTCATAAAACGCAAACAGGATAATAATAAAGGTACGTCTGCTATATTTCAATAGATTGCAGTGCAGGAAGCTAACGCCAGAGCAATGATGCGTTCAGGGATGCTCGGAAATACGATAGTTTGCATAACGGCGACATGAAACAACACATAAACTAAATAGGATAATACCACTTAAGCAACATACTGAATAATAGCAAAGGTCAGACTCTGTCGTATTTCAACAGACTGCAGAGCACACAGAGCGAGCAGCTAATGCTAGCACTGGCTCCAGCAAAGATGCGTTCAGGGGCACTCGCAAATATGGCAGCTCACATAAAGACTTTCCAACAAGGCAGATTCTTGAGTTTTATGAATCGCGATTCGAACTGGATTTCTTTCAGGCACCTCTAGCACCTCAGAACTGTTAAGTACTGTTTCTGGTCTGCAGAGGGCTGCAGAGTGCTGTCCCATGTGAAGTTGGTAAAGTTTCTACATACATAATCACTGAACCCCACTTTTAAAGGAATTAGGTGTGAAAAAAAAAAAAGCTCAGTGTCGCTTTAAGGGTCACAGCGTTAAGCGGGCATCATTAAAAATCACTCTGGTAACCACACACATGTTTCTGCCACACTTTATGTTTCTTTAGTGTTTATGCTGGAGGTACAATAAGAAAAATCCCATTTAAGTGAAAGTCCCATTAGTCATGAAACGTTGGTGAAATTTATTCTGCAGATTTGACCCTTTCCCTGGTGGAGCAGTGAGCTGCAGTTTCAGCCACGCCTTGGAACCATTTAGTGGTTTCAACCCCCCCCCCCCCCCCCCCCCCCCCCCCCCACCCCCCCATTTTCCAGTCTTTTAAATCATGAAATTTCAGTAATTTATATTTAATAAACAATGGGTTCGATGGATCTCTACAGCCACTATAATTGATGATTCTCAGAGCTCTTTTCTGTAAAATAAATAAGGGTTGTGTATAGTTTTTGACTGCTGCTCCCCAGATTTCTACACAATATGTCAATTATGGAACAATCAGTGAATTGTACAATGCCAACAAACCAGAATTAGTCAGTAAAAACTTGACTCTATGTAATACTCCTAAGGATTTGGCAGTTTTACCTTTTATGTAACCAATATGGGATTTCCATGACAAGTCTTCATCAATAAGAACTCCAAGAAATGTAGTTTCTTTTACTCTTTGAATTGCAGTCTCATCTATTTCCAATGACACATCACTGTTCTTTTTATCATTAAACAGTATAAAATTTGTTTTAATTAAGATTCAGTGTCAATCTATTTATATCAAACCAGTTTTTAATTCTAATCAGTTCATCATTTATCACTTTAGCCACCTCCTCAATATTTGATCCTGAGTAAAACAGTGTTGTATCATCTGCAAATAGAATGGTACCGACTGTCTTAGATACATTTACCAAGTCGTTAATAAACAAAATGAACAGTTTTGTTCCGAGGACCGACCCTTGTGGCACTCCACAATTAATTTCACATAGTTTTGATTTATGGTCCTTTATCTGAACAAACTGTTTCCTTTTTTCTAAATAAGTTTTAACCCATTGATGAGCCACACCTCTTATTCCATACTGACTTAATTTTCGAAGTAACCTTGAGTGATCATTGACGTCAAAAGTTTTTTTTCAAATCAATGAAAACACAAACAAAGTCATTGTTATTGTCAATTGCTGTTGATATTTTATTCCATTAATTCCATTATTGCCATTGCTGTGGAATGTTTAGTTCTAAACCCGTATTGTTCATTGTTTAAAATATTATTTTTTCTATGAATTTATCCAACCTTGATACAAATACTTTTTCCAATATTTTAGAAAATTGTGGAAGCAGTGACACCCGCCTGTAATTACTGACACTATGTTTATCACCACTCTTATACAAAGGAATGACTTTCGCTGTTTTCATTGCATCAGGAAAATTTCCAGTAGAAAGTGATAGATTACAAATGTAAGTTAGTGTAAGTTAAAAAGTTGGCGTGACCCAGTTGGGTAAAAGCTCCAAAACTCAACAAACTTAAACTGTTATGGGGCAAAACCCACCAAACACCAGTTCACACACCTAAATCCAACTTTCTGGGATCCGTTTGGAGCTTTTTTGCCTCCTTCATCAGAA